ATTTGCTTCATCAAAAGCACGGAAAATTTAGACATAGTAATAAGTTTTATTAATGTATTATAATCATATGATTATTAAATATATGTATCTCCTTAGAGAAAATAAATATTTACTTTTTTATTGTTTTAAAACTGCGTGTTTTTAAAATATTTCTCTATAAATATGTAAAATAAATTATAAGTATCTTTTGAACTAATTCTAGATGATCATATACATTTCAAAATCTAGTCTTGTTCTCTCAACTACATTTTTTGTCTCTATTTAAAGCCTAGCTTGAATCTATGACTTTATTTATTTTACTTTATTTATTTATTAATTTGCGAGTATATTTTACATATAATATTATATGGTTTTCGAATGGGGGGGGCGCTAAAAGGGTATTGAGCCCCGGGCGCGAGTTAAGCTCGCTACGCCACTTCTTGCACGGCTGTACATGTAGTACATGTCTGCTTTTTCAGCATACCTAAAGTCTCCCATCGTAGACGTCAGCACAATTGCGAATGGCGCTTTCCCCTACTGAGATGCTTCATGTTGAATGGTAACTAGACATCTATTGCTTTCTGTCGGCAACGCAGCCAACTGATAAATTTATTTCTCCTTTCTTTTAGTTCCCCTGTTTGCGCCTCATCGCTTCACTTGCGCACATACATTCCCATACAATAAATGATTTTTACAATATCCTGTTTCTACCTTTAAAGTTTGTACCATGAATTCGCGACCATCCTGTTTACATTTAAGCAAAATAAGAAAATAGTTATATTTGAATAAATAGCAAACAATAAAACCTTTGAAGGAGTTACCCAGTTTAAATATCTGGGTACGCTTGTTACCAACAAAAATGAGATAAATGTTGAAGTTAGCAACAGACTTTTGATGTCTAATAAGTGCTACTTTGGTCTGAGGAGCCAATTAAAATCGAAATTCCTCTCCATTGGCACAAAAGTAAATCTATACAAAACCATAATCAGACCAATTATTCTATATGGTGGCGAGACCTGGGCAATTAATAAAACAGAGGAAAATAGACTTCTCATTTTTGAAAGAAAGATCCCATGGTTAATTTTTGGAGCAGTTAAGGAAAATAATATTTGGAGTAGTTTATATAATCATGAGATATACATTAAATATAGATTACCCAATATTTTGAGGATTATTAAGGCCTACAGGATCAGATGGCTGGGTACGTTTTTCGGCGTGAAGATTTGGATCTAGTTAAAAAACTTACTTTTTCGAAAATTGAAGGAACTAGAAGAAGAGGGAGACCAGCTACAAGATGGTTGGACTGTGTTGAGAAGGACTTAAAATTGTTGGGAATTAACATTTGGAAGAATCTAGCTCAAAGTCGCCCTGAATGAAGGCAGCTAATTGAGAAAGCCTTGGCCTGCACTAGGCTGTAGTGCTGACGAAGAAGAAGAAAAAGCAAACAATAAAATATGCTGTGAGTAACCTCTATCGGCAACCTCTGTCTGTGAGTAACCTGTTGTAACGATTCAGCAGTAGCGTTATCCTAAACAGCGACGAGAAATATTCCGATTTTTCTCACTGACTACTAAGTTTGCTTAGCAGTGGAGTTATTCATTTATTTTTGACTAATGAATAAAGAAAAATAAATAAAAAATAATGAATAACTTATTCTTTACTCAAAATTTTCAGACTAACGAATAAATCATTGTTCATTATTTAGGACGATTTTGAATGATTATTCATTACTCTTTAATCATTATTCTAAATGACAAACGCCCATCTCTGCCATCTGTGATTTGATTATTTATATTTTTTAAGAAATTTATAAAGAGCATAATCCTCTGCTTTGATTATTTGCTTTTGAATAACTTAGTAAATAAATTTTCAGTGTTATTTATATTTTTAAAAAAATTTATACTTCCATAACAGAGGAATATGGGCAAAAATTATTTTAATTCTTGACCGACTTTATCTCAAAGCTGTGTGAGCGTGAGAGGCAGCGAACAAGAGTTTAAAATTTTGCTTTCAGACTTTTAAAATCAGCGCACAAATATTTCTGAATTATAATATTTTAAGTGCAAAGTTATTTTATTTTTTTCAAATTAAAAAAAAATTACTCAATGTTATTTATAATTTTTAAGAACAAACTGTATTTCCTCTCTATTTTATTATATTTTACTATATTTTCACATGCATTTCAGACTAATATCTAATAAAAATGACCCTCGTTGTTGTTGTGAAAATTAAATCTTTCTACTATTAAATTCGAAAATAAAAAAAAAATCTTTTGTTTGAATCTTATCTTAATCTTATTTTTGTCGTCTTTGTTTAATCTTATTTTTGATTAAAAAAATTCTGTGCACAACTATAAGTTACTTGCGCAGCTCAAAAAAATATTAGACAGTTCGTTGGCGTGTGTTTCTTGGGGTGGTGATTTCTTCTCAGTACGTTAATTACGCTACTCGTTACGTTAAAGATTTTTTGTAATTACCTCCTTCTGTTGAGTTGAAAAAGGTTGAGTATCATTGAGGTAGAATCTCATTATCGTCAGATTCATGGTATTTCTTTGTGCGTTAAGCAAATTCATCCAAAAATTCCTTCTGAAAGACGATTTTACACCGATAAATAATTTAGGAGTAACTATGATTTTTGTGTTTGATCCGAAATTACAAAAATAAGGAGAAGAGCGTTTCATAACATTCACTAAAATTATAGATTGTCAATCAAAAGTGATAAAATAAATTATTATAAAAAAAATATTTTATTACGCTAGTGAACATTTAAAGGGAATTTTATCACCGTTAAGCTATTCGTCGGTTTCATTTGTGTGTAACGCAAAATTGTTTATTTTCATTGATTCAAAAAAATAAATAAATATAATTAAAAAATAAATAAAATAAATCAATAAGTTTTCAATGGCCGTGATTTCACCCCGATACTTAAATTATGAGTTACTTTGGTTTCTGATATGGATTTAAAATTACAAAAATAAGGAAAAGAGCGGTTCATTACATTCAATATGATGATAGGTTGTCAATCAAGGTTGATAAAAATATCATGGATTATGAAAACAATTTGATTGCGATTGCTCAAATCTTGTTTTGGACAAGCTATGCGTGAAATACTTTCGATATTTTTCATTGCATGTAACATAACTTATGATAAATTTAATTCAATTGGCGATCGAAATGGGCTGCAGGTGGCGTAGAGCAGATCTCTTTTCCTATGGCAACACTTCACATGCTTTCCCCATTAGCGTGTGGAAAGTCATAGAGGAAGGAAGTGCGTTAGTTTCTCAATGGATTTTCATATAGATTAAAATCTTTTAACTTGAAAAACTATATGGAACTGAAAACTACATTAAACATAGTTCTAAAGAAAAGTATCATGGAAATTTTAAGAAATATTTTTATTATATAAAAAGGAAAAATATTAAGAAAAGGGAAAATATCGTAGTACATTCCTATACAACTGAAAAAAGGAGGAGAGGGAAGGGAGATGGGCTAAAGGCATGAAACCGGTCTCTCCCCAGATGGCGTATTCGAGTGTTGCGATCATGAATTCTTTTATAAAGGCACAACATTTATTATAAAGGCATAATATTTATATTAATGACATAATATTTATATTAAAAGTATAATATTTATATTAAAAGAATAATATTAATATTTAAATGAATGAATTAACTACTACGAGTCACATGTTGCATTCTTAATTATAATCATTATAAAATGATTATAATAAACTAATAAATTCAAAAGATTTTGTTCCGTTCAATGCTCACTTAAATGCACACATTACATACTTTAATAAGAAAAATGCAAAAATAAAGATTTAATAATTATAGTTACATAATCGTAATAGTATAGACAGATGTTTTTTCGCTTATATAACTAATAAAAGCTATGAAAACCGAAACTTAAACATAGGTTTTCGCGTAATCTGTAAGATATTTGAACTGGATATTGGAAAACGTTCAATTAGCTATTAATATCTCACAAACAATATATAAAATATAGCAATATACAAAATAATAAATTGTTGTTCAAAAATAAAATTAAAAAAAATCTGATTTTAAATTGCAATGCTGGGATTTCAGAGAAAAAAAAATGTTTATGCGTTGAAATCAGAAGTGAAGCAGAGATAACTTCAGTCTTTTGCAATTAGTAGCGCCACGTTACGACGCGTGTCGCTTTTTGAAACCATTTTGGTAGTTGTTTACATTTGGTATTCTTATTACAACAGCGCTCTCACTATCGAAAAAAAGAAAGTTATGGGAAGTCTAAGCTGATTATAATCTTTTTGGTCATTCGGGGCTCGGTCGGGGGCATTCCTGACCGTTATGAGTTATGACGACAGGTATATGCATAACTGTAATACCTTGCTGCGATGTCAACAATCAATCTAAATCGTAATGGCGAGCTGCGATGTAAAAAATCATCATAATTCGCATGGCATCTCACGATATCGAATCAGAAATAGAGATTCACCCGGAAATAAATGAAGTTGTGATAGATGATATTCCTGTAGAAATGCCAGTTGAAACTGTAGAAACCACTGTTGAGTGTGTTGATGGGCATCCTATAATATCATTACAAACATTGGATTCAAATAGCCCAGAAATTATATTACAAACTCAAGAAGAAATAGTAGTTGATGTGGATGATTCCGAAATGCTTGCATCTTACAATAATTTAACAATACCACATGAAGTCCTTTTTGAAACGAATCCAGGAACTTCTAAGCGAACTAAAAAAAATAAAAAAAGTAGCAAAGTGAAAATTGAAAATGAACTTTCCTATGAAATGGAAAGAAGTTCTCGAAAGTGGGAACAAAAACAAGTTCAAATAAAAACTCTTGAAGGTGAATTTTCTGTCACTATGTGGGCGTCGGGAATAGATGAGGGTAAGTTAATAAATTAACAAGCCTATTAATAATTATTCGGGCTCTGTTAACTTATTTACTTCTTAAAAAGACGAAAATATGTCTTCCAATATGTAAAATATTCTAAGATATAGTTGTTATTCTGCTTCAAAACGATGACAGTGCAACGACGTGGTGACGAACTCTTTGTTGTGATTATTGTGGAGTGTCTGTGTTTGTTGACAAATATTGTGCCGCCATCTTTTCATTTTTTCAAAATGGCGTCTCAATGATATGAAGTATATGTAATTTCAGCTATATTAATTCAAATGATTAAAACACACTTGAGCTTAATTTTACTGCAACAGCACTTTGAAATGCCTAGTCATAGACACCTTAGATTTTTCATATTAATTATCCGTTTCAATTATTAAAATGTTAAGTTTTTTTATTAAGGGGGGGGGGAGAGACAAGTTTTATATGCTTAATATTTACTTATGAGAGATTGTGGAATCGAATTCATAATCAAGAGCAATAAAAATATTTGTAATTCTTATATAGTTGAAGGCATACTATTTATGCAAACATATTTATAAAAAAAGAGGAAGAAAATTTTATCTAATAACAGTGATATTTTTCCTTAGTTATTTCTCTCATAACAGAACAAACCAGAAAAAAAGAACTAGGTTGTTAAGAAATAAGTTGTCATTTTTGTTTCATTAAATTTTTATTAAAAGTGTTATAGTAAAATAGAAGGGCAAAAATATTAAAAATTGAACAATTATGATATTTGAGTTCATAGTTGACCACTAACATTTTTCGCCCTTTTTTAGGAATTCATATTACATTACAAACGCGTTAATTTTTATTAAACTATAGTTCAATGCAAGCATGTTAATTTATATAAAATTACTGCATTTTACAAGTATTGTGTTTATTATGTTGAAAAATTGTATCAGTCTATAGTTACTGTTGCTAACACTAGAAAATTGGAGAGAAAATGCTTAAAATAGTATGTGTCCTGTGCGACACAGAAATTTAAATGCTAAATTTATCAAATAAAAATGTTTTTTTTTCTGTTGTCAAAAGTCGCTGTATTCTTTCTATTCGTGGTCATTACCTTCATTATTAATATTTTTTAATATTAATTTTATTTCTAGTTTAAAGATATGATGAAATAGTTATAGAATTTAATTCTATCAAAAGAAGTTTAAACTAATAGTTTATTCATATATTTCAGAGGTTTCTCAGTAATTAATCCGCATTTATTATTTGGCTGAAAGAAAGGCTGACAATGTTTTAAAATTTAATCTCCAAAAATAAATGATATTTTGAAAGAGAAAGGACCAAAGTTAATGTGCATGTGCCATAAAGTAAATATTTGTGTACCTGTTCACACCAGGATTTGCCAAACTAGGCCCATCCTTTTTCTTTTTAGTCTTACTTGTAAAATCCAGTTTTTCTCCAAGGTGGGTTTTTTCAAAATTTACTGTACAAGATCAGTAGGTCTTGTACTTCGAAAGTAAAATAATTAATTGTCATTTTAACAAGGACTTTGAAAATAAACTAACTTGATATATAAATCGAAATCTGTTCTTAAAAAGAACATGTTGAGGATTAAGGCTCCTAAAATATGAATATTTTTCAATTTGTATGAAATTATAATGTTTGATTTTATGAATCAAATTTTCATTACAAATGCTTATTTTTTAATTATTAAATTTGCATTTTTTTTTAAAAAGTATTTAGGCAGAGTGCAGTGATTTACAGTATTAAATAAATTTTCTCCACTTATGAAAAATTATCAGTTTTTATAAAAGTTTTAAAAAATAGAATTTTCTTAAGCAAATTTTAAGAAACATAATTTATAAATTAAGTTTATATATTTTTATTGAACATAAACTACTTTTATTTAATTTCATGATATCTATGAAACTAAGTAGTAACCAATTTTTTTATGATTATATTAAAATTGAATAATGTTTAAGAATTTATTTCTCAGTTGGTAAAGTGAAATGTAGAATTTGAGATTCACAATTTTTTTTAATATTAAAAAAGTGAGGAAAGAAGTTGGAAGGAAAAGAAAAACATTGTAAAATTTAATATTAGAATTCTTTTTTTTAATATTATTGCTAAAGATGCATCAGATATTCAGAGGCTGATCTTGCTAAATATTCCATTAAGTGGAATATTTTTTTAAAATAAAATTATTTATTAGGGTATATTAAAAGAAATGCTAAGAATGTGAATTAGAATTATACATAAGATGTAAAGTGTCATGTTAAATAAAGTCCTATTCCAGGTAATTAAAGCCCTAATATTCAGGTGCTATAATTTCTGCTTTTAATTTTATTTTTTATTTTAGGCTAAGTTAAATACTATAAAAATTTCTTGTGATAAATATTTTTTGAAAAATTTTTATAGGATATAAAGTACAATTTTGCTTAATTACAATAAATTTATATATTTTGAACAAAGATGTTTTACATATTGGCAATTTATAGGTGCAACAAATATCCAGAATATATTATTTCTTATTGTAACACATAAATAATGCATCAGGAATTTGTCTAAAACTGTTTTTTAATGTTGTCAGCGCATTCCTACTGGCTAGAAAATTTTTATGTTTCCTTAATTAACAAATACCTATATTATCATAGCTGCCAACCCTACTGGATTTTGCCAGTTTCTCCTGGTTTAATAAAAATTCTCTTGGTTTTTCAACATTTTAGAATATTCCCTAAAAAAAAATCCCCATTGAAATAGAACGTTTACAAAATTTATTGCTTGCTTGAATATTTAAATAAGTGTTGTTAATACATAATGAACAAAGCCTCATTTATAGTAATAATTTAAAAATTCTTTTTTTGTTTTGAAATTTTCAATGAATTTTTATTGAGAATTCTTTGCAAATAACATTTTTTAGTAGCATGGCAACACTGAAACTAAAATTTCAATGATAAGAATAATATTTTCTGGAAAAACGTCTTCATAAATCAATGCTAAGAAATAAGGCCTATCAGAAATGCTTTTGAAAATGCTGTGCTATAATAAAAACTTAAGATTATATAAAAAGCGAAACAGAGAGAATAAAAATCGATCTTAATTTTCGAAGGAAAATTTTAAAGTTGAACATCTCGGTTTCCCAATTACCAGAAGAAGTCAAGAGCAAAGAATGAAGTCTAATGATCTTAAAAATTGCCACGTTATAATAAAATAGTCTATAAAAAAGTTTTTTTAAGTAAAATAGAAACAAAAACTAAATAGAAAAACTAAATAGAAACAAAAACAAAGAACTTTCTCAATTTTTTAAATGAAAATCTTATGCTGAAAACAAATCTTACACCGTTTAAATTTTTCACATTGCCATACTTTTAGAAGAAGAAAAATTACTAAAAAATAAAGTTTATTAGTAACGTTCATTTAAAAAAAAATGCTGTGTCATAATAAAAATGCCTATAAAAAGAAAAGTTAAAGACTGAAAATCACAGTTTTCTATGTTACTGGTTATTTATATTACTGTACAAGAAAAAAGGGACAACAAATTAATAGTATGAGACGTTCCGTTAAAATTCTGCGTTATAATAAAAACAGCAAGAACGGGGGAAAAAATCCTTCTCAATTCTTAAAATTAAAAGTATCGAAAAAATGAAGAAATTGACTTGTCTGAATAATTTATTTTTATTTTTTAAAAAGCAAAAGTTCAAAAACTTGTGGTTCGGTATAAAGTAATCTAGTTTCAATTCTTCAAATTTCATTTTTCCATTTGTCTTCTAGAGGATGAATTTGCAGGCCATGTGCAGAAACATGGATTTTAAAATTTAAGAAATTTGTGTAAAAACTATTTCTTATAATAAACAGTACTATAATATAGTTAAAAATATGATTCTATATTATTCTTTATCGTATCTATACAAATTCAAAAAAAAGAAAAAGAGCATAGAAAAATAGTTATCTAAAAAATATTCTGCCGAATATTCGTGCTGCTACATGCTGTTTCCTGCATGTCACTATCTAGTTGTTGCAGTTATCGATACAGAATTTTTCACTCTATAAAAAATCTTAAAAGTTAATGTGCCAGAATCAATAAGAAAACTTTTAATTTATGATTAATTATTACCAAGTCTGAAGTGAAATATACACATGTATGGTATTTGCACTTCAAATAAAACTAATTATTAAACTTTTTAAATTTTTTTTCTTTGGTGGGTATATCATTTCAAATTGTGGCTCTTAAGCATCACATATGAATAAAATCAGTTATGAATTAAATTCGAAAATTAATTTAATAACTTATTAGTAAATAATTATTTTACTCTTTAAAATTAAATTTATGATAATTTAATTTAGATTTTATGCAAACTAGCACACAGTCACAGTTAGAGATGTTCTTATATAAATATCTGATATGAAGGATGATTTTAATATAAAAGTAAACAAAAGCAAATATTAGAGATAGATCCTGTCAATTTCTAGAGGAATAGCTACTAAAGATTTAATGTTTATCTCAGGAAGCAGTAGTTTCCAGCATCATATTTTGTTTTTATTAAACAAATGTGTGATCTTAAATTTGCTATTATTCATGAGCAGGGGTGTAGAACTGATTTTTAGGAGTCAATATGTAATGTGAAGGAGAGTAGAATAAACATACTATGCCTTTTTAAAATTGCATGAATACAATTATTATTTTTATTTTAATAATATCCAAAATTAATAAATAAATAATTAAAATTGCTAGAAATAGGTTGGCTTTATGCCATGCGTTGTTAAAAAGAGCAAATGGCACAAGCTGTCTTTTTAAGAAAAACCTATCCACAAAGTCTTTTGTAAATAATTTTTGTATAATTTTAATTTCTGTAAGAAATGTAATTTTATTTGGAATAAATTTTTAATCTTAAATTAAAAAGCTTTGTTAAGAACTCAACAAGAAGTTTATTAGATTGGACTTATAAGAAATTCTATGTTTATGGCTCTGAAATAAAAATTTATGTTTAAAATATGCATAAGATGGTAGGTACATGTTATTTTGCACTAGTATTTTCAAAGCTGTGAAGAATTAAAAAAATAAATTGCTGGACAATTGTTAGTAATATAATATTAAAGTAATATCATACAAATAGTTCATTCTATAAAAATTTGTGAAGACATTTTCCATTTAATAAAAATTTAAAAATTATTATTTTTGGGAGAGCAAGGAGATTATACTTTTCGCTAGTAGAACTTTTGTGAAATGGCCAATGAAAGGTGGTACAATTGTCCTCGTGTTAGCTCTTGTTAACAAAATTAATTGTGCCATGCATTACAGTTATTTTCACGGTCAGTATAATTATTCTGAATAATGTTTTTTTGCTTCAATATGCTTATTTTAGATGAAGCAACTGTTCCTGAGCCTGATCCAGATTATACGGAATATATGACTGGTAAAAAGATATCAGCTGATGATCTTCCTGGTGTGGATCTCAGTGATCCCAAGCAATTAGCAGAATTTACCAAGTTAGTTTTGTAGTTTAGTCTTGAATACAGATTATTTAACATTGTAGTTAATATAAAATTTATTTTTGTTTTAAAGAATGAAGCCTAGAAAATTATCTGATGATCTGTCCAGAACAATTGCCTGCCCTCATAAGGTAAAATTTCAGTATTTAAAGCTTTTGAATATTCAAACTCTCTTTACTAGCTGTCTTTAACCTTATTTTATTCATTTATTATTATTATATGAACAACTAGAGTGAATTAAGCAAATTTGTAATATCTTAAACTCTTTCTATCAAGAGGGTGGGTTTTTATTACAGAAAAAAGAATTTCTCACCTTTTCCCAAAAATAGAGTGGAATCTATTAGAATAGAGATTTCTAAAAATTATAAAAAAGCCCGAATAAGCTTAAAAGAAATTTATTTCCTTAATTATTATATAATTGCAAGCATTTTCAATATGTTCTATTTTTTAATGCATTAAACATTATTGCCTTCTCATCATAAGGAAATATTTGAAGTCTATTTTTCCTTCTGGTTGCTGTTACTTATTTTATTTATCTAATTTAAAATAAAAATTATGTTAGCATACTATAATCTAATAAAGATAAGTAATATTTAAATAAAGTGAAGGCATGCTACATTAATTACACCTACATTTATCCACTGAGCTCTTCAAATATTTCAAAATAGTATTCCTTTTTTAAAATGTGTAATTAGTACACAATTTTTTGTTACTGTTCTTGTTTGCAAACTTTAAATTCCTCTTATTCTATTAAACTTTATTATATCAGGACCTTCAGTGTGAAAATATTATCCAGATGATTGAAGTATATAAAAGTGGGAAAGGAAAAATAGTTCTATACCAATAATCCAGTTAACATACAAAATATACCCAAATCACTGAACTACAAAATCGGAACAAAAGGAAAAAAAGCAGTTCTTACTTAATAATTTAGTTAATGCAAAATGCATAAAAAAAGTAGCTCTAAACAATTAAATTATTTGGTTAAATTGCAAAATATAGCCGAATCACAGAAAATACTGAAATGAAATAAAAGAAAAACTCTAATTGAATTTGCATTTTAATAATCAATTAAAATGCAAATTACATCCACATTGAAAAAAAAAGCATTTCTAAAGAATTAATTAAATTAAGATTGAAATTACGTATATCCATGTCGCAAAAGTTCGAGGATGGAGAGAAAAAGCACATTTTTCTAATGTAATAATTCACTTGAAATGCAAAATACATCCCAATCACGAAATGTGAAAAAAATAAAAATAAATAAAAGAAACAGTTCTGATGCAAAATTTCTTCAGTTGAAATGCAAAATACATCCGAATGGCAAACGTACGGAAAAAAAAAAAAAAAAAAACGCATTGTAAAGAAATAAATTAAAATGGAAATTTTTTAAAATCAAATCGCTAAAGTGTAAATGAAGGAGGAAAAAAAACTTTATTCTCTTCAAATAATTCGGTGCAAAATTTATCAAAATTGCTGAAATAAAAAAGTATTTAACTATTGATTCAGTTAAAAAGCAACATGCGTAAAAAGTCTTGAAGTACAGAAACGGAAAAGAAAGGAAGGGGGATTATGTTTCAAAATTAATTAATAAATCAGATGAAGTATAATATATACCAGAAAGCAAAACAGAAATGCAACGACGACTGACGCAAAGAAAAACACAGCGCCAAACTAAGCGACGATCACTTTAGCTGCATTTAATAAAGTAACTGATAAGAATAACGTTAACAAAACCCTTTTTTGCCTCAATGATTTGTGAATTCAGCAAAAGAGGGTTGAATAGAAATTACTGGATATTTTATGGTTTTCTTGATCATGTTCCATTTTCCTGATGGAACCGGATTTCCTCTCATAAAAATAAATATCATTTTCGAAATGCAGCTGTAATACTGATTGTTTCAGCCAAATTTTTATAAACATCTGTCATTTTATCTCAGTTCATTTAATACAGAGAACAAAATTACATGAGAGAAAGAAAGTAATAATTTTGAGATACAAAATTTTAATAAATGATAAATTAAACTTATTACATAGAAATTGTAAATGTATTCTAAAAATACTACATATATTTGTATTTTTATTTTAAATGTATAATTATTTTCAATTTAATGTTGCATATTCATATTTCTTTATTAAAAAGTTTGTCCCATTTGGGTGGGAAGAAACCTATTTCATTCGAGGTAGTTTTCTTTTTACGGTGGAAAAAATTTGCTATGTCAGAAATGTTTGCCTGGTGAGAATTAATTTTGGCCATCAGTTTCTTTCTATTTGATATAGCCTTTATCCTTTAAAACTCTTTATTTCAATATATATTTTTTAAAATTCTCTCCAGGGATTTGAGATATCAAGGTTATACTGTATTGTGTAATTAATTCACAAGTAGTTTGTAGTACTTGTGAAATAACATGATGCAGGTGTCTTTTTAGGTATAATAAGCAGTGTGAAATTTAATGAACCTTTTTTCCTAGGGTTGCATTAAAATGTTTCGTGATAATTCCGCTATGCGGAAACATCTTCATACACATGGACCCAGAGTTCATGTATGTGCTGAATGCGGGAAAGCTTTTGTTGAAAGTTCTAAATTGAAAAGGCATCAATTAGTTCATACTGGTGAAAAGCCTTTTCAAGTAAGTGTTTTGATTTTTTTATGCAATTATATGATGCCGGCAAAGTTTAAAATCTGGCATTCTATAGAATGCCTAGGCATTGTATATAATACCTGAAACTGGCCGACAGTGTGAAACAGTTTATATTTTGCACATTTCTATAGAATGCCAAATGAGAAAGCGGCAAAGTATAAAATATATCTCCGATTCTTTTAGAATATCTCATGGCAAGACACGTGACTTTTAACGCATACCTCAAGCTCAGAATTTATCAGTTGCAATTAGCGGTTTTTATATGAAAATTTTGTTTCCCTTAATAAGAAGGACATAAATTATGCTTTGTACAACTTTCATTTTTCTTTATGCATTTTGAATAAATTTTTTTTAATGGCACTCTTATTATTTTTTCAGAATAAAATTTTTATTTTTGAGAAATGCACATCATATCCATAATAACCTCATCAGGACATTTTTTTCATACTTTGCTTGAATAGCATTTGTTATTCTATAGAATGCCTGGGTATTATTTTCAATGCCTTGGGAAAATATGCAAAACTTCTCATATTTCATACCTTGCCTAAAAATATGCAGCATTATTTACAATGCATAGGCATTTTATAGAATGGTGGTGTTACTTAACATATACAATATTCTTTCATTACTTTAAACCTGGGTTCGTGATTTTTTTGATTTTTTAAAAAAAAAAATCAAAAAAGTCCAATTTTTTTAATTTAAATCAGATTTTTTTGATTTTTATTCAAATACACTGTAAGAACTTTAATTTATGATTACAAAAACTTAGTAAATGTTTAATCAAATTAAATTAATATTAAAACTATATTATGACAATATTTTAGAAGCTCTAACTTACTAAAATAATTTTTCATTATAATATATAGCTTTGAATGCATAGTAACCATTCTGAAATAAATGCATAATTGAAATTTAAAGACTAGATGAAATCGAAAATTTAAAGAATACTTCAGGCGTCTGTCTAGGTTTTTCTGAGAGGTACCTATTTTCTGGAAATTTAGACATAATTTGTGAAAATTGAAAATCATATTAAAAACTCAACACAAGTATGGTAAAAATATGGATTAATCGTTTCTTACGAGACAAAAAAATAAAATTTTAGGAAAAAGTATTTTGTCAAATTATTCTACCGTTTTTCCTAAAGTTGAATTTGTGAAGGTACCGCTAAACGGTAGTAAATTTGGCTTGGATAGACCCCTGTACTATAACTATTAAAACAAAGTTTCAATTAGTGAACCATAATTTTAATTTAAAATTGTGATTTCTTTTCTTTTTTTCTTGATTTTTAAAATGACAAAATAAATATAACAGATTGTGTTTATAAATGTAGTCATTCATCAAAAAATAAATAATTATTTAATCTATATATTTTTATATTAAAATATTCATTTTTAATTCTATATCAAAATCGATAAGTTCAATTTTAATTCTATATCAAAAAGATTTTTAAATTCTATGTACTCATTGGAATTTTTTTTCACAAAATTTCTTTATGGAAAATCAGATAATGTCCAAGATACTGTAAACATAACTCTAGCCATAAGTAAAAGGGTTAATAAAGTCACAAAGAGTCCACTGTAGTTATGTACTGTTAGGTATACCATAAACTAATTTAATAATTACTATGATACAAAAATTGTGTACTCCTGTCATAATTTATTTTATTTAAATAAAAGTTATGTAAAATTTAGAAAACAAAAAATTCAAAACTCTTTATGTATAAGACAGGAAATATAGTTTTATTTTATCCTTATTTTTCTTGCACATTCATTTTTTTTATCATTAAATTGGTCTAACCTTATATTTTTAAGGATGCTGAAGCTGTTATGAAATAAGTGTAATCCAATAGCACTTTTGTATCGATTTATGTAAATAATTTTTATGCTTATGAGGAGTGATTGTATTACGGGCGTACCCCGGAATTCCAGTTTTTTCGTATCATTCTCCCAAATGTAAAAACTAGAAGAGGTGATTTTTCCCGGCAACATTCGCAGAATTTAGTGATCTCAGGACCATGATTTATTAAAAGACGATTTATAATTCGCGGACTTCTTCGAATTAAAAACTTATGTTCCGACGAATTTTTAAAACTTACCCGTTAACAAGGCGTTTACATACAAGTGATTCGACCGTCGATTTGATTTGGCTGATATTTTGGTTGTGTCGGTATCTGCTATTATCGCGATTCGTATTGACGTTTTTGTAATATCAAACAGATTTTCGTATTTACCTGATTTAAGAGTTACGTGTTTCGATTCGTATCCACCCGAACTAAAAATTATGCATCGTGATTCGTATTTACGTGATTTAAAAATTCAATATCGCAGTTTGTTGAGTTTTTAAAATCCTATATCGCGATTCATATTTGCGCGATTTTAACATTTAAAATAGCGATTTAAAAATCCTATATCACAATTCATATTCAAGTTTATTCTTGAATTATTACTATAAAGGTGTGATATTCTTTATTAGTAGGTAATTTAATTATAAATACTAGTTTTAAAATTATGTTAAATAAGAAACATGTTTGTCGTATATAAATTGATTTTGATTTTTTGCTCATGAAACTTTCAGGGTTTTTCACTTAGTGTCACAATCACCCCTGGCTTATTTAGTGTCTCATTTAGACATAATAACCTGTCTTAAATGGATAAAAATAAGCCATACTTATAAGTATTAGTCTGATTATTGGAAAGTTGTTTACATTGTTGACAGGGCAGGCAACTTTCTACTCTTTGTGAAAAAATTTCATCTAGTGACAGCAAATTTTATGCTTTCAGTATATTTGATTTGAATTTATTTTCCAAGCCCATTACATGTGAATGATTAAAAAATTCATGTAGAGAGCTAATTTGTTCTAGTTTCTTCATGGTGTGACTTTTAAAATTATGGCAAAACTAACCAAAATTCTTAAAGGATTAGTTTTTGATTGTCTACCACTTTATAAAATATTTTGCAAAAAGGAGAGTAGTTGACATTTCTGTATCAGTAATATATAAATAAATTTTTACTTAAAATTCTTTGAATGTTTGTTTTCAGATGCGAACATGCAAAAACCAGTAAGAAACTTTAATTTCGGTAATTAACACGTTAAATGCCACTCTAATTTTACACAGCTTGCCCGCCTGGCCAAAATGATTTTCTCAGTATGTATTGCATAAATTTCTTCAAACCATTTTAGTAACGATAAATAATGTAAAAAAATTAAAAGCATAAAAAATTTACTCGAATTATGTGTTTCTAATAATCTTGGTTTCGCCGGTCACCGGTGACCCCCGTGGCGCTACGAACAAACTCAGTTCTGGCATTCAATGTGTTAATAAGTATATATTTTTTCCAACCATTAAGACGCATTTGCTAGTTATAGTTCTCCTTTCTTATATTTTTAAAGATTTTAATCGATTTTTAAATAATTTGCCAAATTTTTCTTGTAAGGCTTAAATAATCATTTTAAACTGCTAAATGTTTGTTAAAAAAAATTAAAATATAGAATTAAAACTCAAGCATGTCTTGAAAGCACCGTTCAGCATATTTTATTTTGAAAATCTTCACCTATTTGTATTTAATCAAAGGATAAGGATAATTATGTTTCGTACAGACAATTTGATAATTTCTACAGAAATGAAATTTCTATTAATATTGAAGTGAAGGTATTTTAATTTCTTAAAATGATATGGCTCATAATTATTATGACTTTTATTCTTTTAAGTTTCGTAAATATTACAATTTCATGAAGTGAGATTATAAAAGATATATATCACTTTCTCATTTATGAAAATCATAATTTATAATTTTCCAAAAGCAGAATTGGCCACAATCTGCTAATATATAATAATCTCATAAGTATAATCTCATAAATATATAAACATAAACTTTTTCCCTGCTGAAATTTCAGGTAATTTTTTCATGAAGCTTTAATCACTCTTTTTACGTGTCTCAATTGTAAAATAGTGTACTTATATTTGTCATTAGTATTTTTGTCTTTTTTTTTTTTTTTTTTAAANTCTTTTTTTTTTTTTTTTTTTTTTGATAATTTTTTCCTTCATTTTTTTTTACCTTATAATTTTTTTTTTGCAGTGGAACAATTTTTAGATTTGAAAAATTGTTCAAATTTTTTTAAACCTATTTTAGCATTGTTTATAGTTATGTGATTATTTTATTTCGCTTCAAAAAATGTATTTCTCTCGCAGTGTACTTTTGAAGGATGTGGAAAACGTTTTTCCTTAGATTTTAATCTTCGCACACATGTAAGAATTCATACAGGTGATCGTCCTTATGTATGTCCTTTTGATGGTTGTAATAAAAAGTTTGCACAGTCAACTAATCTTAAATCTCACATATTTACTCATTCAAAAGCAAAGTAAGTTGATCTTTTCTCTTGTTGTACATATTATGTTATTCATTAATTCCTACAAATACTTTTGAATTGATTTTTTTCATAGTATTCATTAATTTTTGTATGGATTAAAGGGTAAAGCATACAACAACAATATTATATGGACTTCAGCCATATTAATTCAGTGATTAGATGAATGTTGCCTCCAAATTTTAATCAGCTGCTCTTGTCTAATTTACACTTGCCGCTTTTCTAATTTCATTAGATCACCTCTTAGTAGTAACTTTATTGATCGTTTAGTGTCATAATCAAAGACGTTATCAGTTCTTCAAGCTATATATATCCAGCTCATTGTCATTTTAAGCATTTAATTCTTTTTATGACATAAAAAACTTTTGTTTATTCATATATGTTTAGATAATTTATGTATTAATATTGAAGCATAAATTTTGAAACCACTTTAAATTAAAAAAAGAAAAAAAGTCTAAAAACAGTCATGCATTTTCAGAGCAGTTTTTGAAAATCTCTGAATTTTTTTAAAAATTTAATAACATATTATTAATGAAAAATATACCAAAAAATTAAGAGTAATAACCATTAAAAACATTCAATTTAGTCTTTTTTTTTTTTTTTTACTTTTGTCTTGTTAAACTCTATATTACGTTTAAATAATACTGCCTAATAAATTAAGATAGTACAAGAAATAGAAATTTATTATAATTCACAAAAAAAAAAAAAAATTATTACAACTTGAATGTTGAATAAATATGTCTTTATAATATTATTATACAGTAGAGTGTCAATTATCTGCATTAATCAGTACCAAAGCCAATTCACATAGCAAAAAATCTGCATAACTGGCCAGCTTTAAAAAATGGCCATGAGAATGTTAAGTAACTTTCCTTCACACTTTTTCCAGGTTTAGAATTGGCAGTCCTAGTAGTGCCTATTATAGCATGCTACTGAAGCTTTAATTCTTTAAAATTTTATTAGAAACCTGTTCCCTTGTTAGCAACTACTTGCCACTCACATTAAAACTGGCTGAAAGGAGCGTTAGACTCTTTTCAAGGTCACCGAGAGACAAAGGAAGCAATTTTCGATCTTTTTCAGACATTCTGAAAATAAAAAAGCATTTTTGCGATTTATTTATTTCTTTTTGAAGAAGGTGGAAAAAGCACATGGTCCTTGAGGGATTCAGGTAATTATATCGGTGCTATGCTGTAAATATAGTTGCAATACTTTTATAATTGCAATTTGTTTTGAGTTTCCTATCAGTTTTTTAAACTTAAGAACTAGAAAATAGCTTAAGATCAGTTTCAGTCTATTTAAAGGAAGAAAGGAAAATGCATTATCGCCATTTTTTTTAGCTTATATTAAAATGATAGAAATCAATTAAAGGTTGAAAACAATTTTAAAACCTATTTTATTAATTATGGATTAAAATGTAATCATGGTAAAAAATAAGTTTAATTGAATAAACAGAGTTTAAAATTAAGACTGCATTAAATTTTAAATCTAACACAGATGTGATACAATAACATCACAGATTATGTTCCAGAATTAACAGATTTCTAAAATTTCATTTATTTTTTCTTGTGCCTTTTTATTATAAATTCTACAATTAGGAAATAATGCTGACCTATTTTTATATCTTATAATTGTATTAAGTGACAGGATTTATATGTGATAAGAGTAATATTTTGTTTTGCTTCTTGTATGTGAGAAAGATAAGTTAAAAGGGAATAAATTGTATAAAGTTCTTTATGTTTTATTAAAATTACTAAAATATTTTTTATCGCTTACTAATAAAATTCATAATGTTCAATAGTTTATGTTGCAAAAAATTAATAATTTTTTTAATTTAAATATTAATCTTTATTTGTATTTTGTTATATATCTTTTGAATTATATTTAATTATTAATTTTATCATTGTAATCTTAATCATAGATACGTTTTTTTTCTAATGCTATTTATCAAAATAGTTATTTACTTAAAAATATCTAATTGTTTAGTAACTTTACATATAAAAAAAAAGAAATCTCATTTTGCTAAAAAAGAACTATTTTGATTTTATTTTGAAAAAAAAAAATGATTTTTCTTTGAAATCCTGATTATTAAATGTTTTTTAATTCCTTTTGTTGAATTTTTCAGGTACAGAAAGTGAGAGTGTCCATATTAACCAACATTATCCTCATCAAACACCGTTGTTACATTAAGTCTTCTTGACCAAATGGACTCTCTTAAAAATTATGTATAATGACAAATATAATTTGCCTGCAGTTAAATTTTATGTTGCAGGAATCAATACATAATTTTACATTTTTAAATTTCTATTATGAATTTATATTAAATCACTTACACATTATTTTCAAAACATATGCAGTCACTGATTTTTGCTGTTTTTAGCAAGATGTTCATATTTCATGATTTGCATCTCATTAATTTTGTTCAGTTTTTTGTAACAATCATTAAGTTAAAGGAAATCAATGTGATTGAAAATCTGTTGACTCAATTGAAAATATATTGAATCAACTTGAGGGTCCTTTTGGTTGAACAACTTAAAGTATTGTTCTTGCTTCCACCAGTTATTTATATTTCATCAAGATTCAACACTGGTAGGTAACAGTTACACATCTTATCCTTTAGCCTTTTAACTGTTAACTCAAATTCAGTTTGATGTAGGCTAGCAAATAAGTCCTACATAACAAATAAGTTTTTTTTATCTGCTATTTAGTGGGAAAGCAATGCTTACCATGATCATTTTTTTGCTCATTCTTTCAAAGTGGTTAAGAGTTGAAGGATTAAAGTCACAAATTACTAAACACATTTTATAATTGATTGACTTGGCTTTTTGTTAATAATTTGTGTGAAAAAACCTTTCTGGAATTTAGTTATCTTTAGAATGCGCATTGTGCCATATAATTTTTGATTTTATTAGCTTTGTTTTTTTTTTTTAATGTTTTGCTTTTCTCTATTAAGTTTTCTTGTTTAGTATCATATTTTCTCAACATCAGGCAAGATTTTATTTTTTTTAAATCAGTAGCAATAAAACAATCAATGAATGATAAATATGATATTAAATATTCATGATTGTATGAAAGTTTAAATACTCAATCAAAATAATCGAGATTTAAAAAATGGTGTGGAAATTTCCAGGCCAGAAATAAGACAACTAACTCTAACAACTGCTGAGAAAACAATTAGAAAATGCTGTTATTTATGGTGGTGTAGTTGTGAATTAAGCGCATTAAAAATGCTTTTTGTCAAACTTGAATTTCATGTGTCGTAAAAACATATTAAAAATATCTTTATTTAAGAACACACATTAAAAAAAGAACTGTCAAAATAAAAAATAATTGCAGAGAAAATGGTCGGAAAATGGCGTAGATAAAAGGGGAAATAGTCTTGAATAAAGTAAGTCAAAAAGTGATTGTTTAAATTTGAAATCCGGGTTTTGAAATATCACTTTTAAAAATTAAGAATTTTAAAAAACCTTGTTGAAATGACCCATAAATTGAAAAAAAAATAATCAAAAAACGGCGTGGGTTTGCAAGAGAATCGTCTCAAATTGAGTATATCAAAAATTTATTATTCAAATTTGAAATTCTGTATTAAAAATATTGAAATTTGGACGAATATGTAAAAATATTGCTGAAATAACTACCAAGAAAACGATCCGATAACAATTTAGATTAATGACAAAATAATCGTGTATTGTGCTCATCTAAAAGTTATTACTCAAATTGGCACATCTAGAGTCACAATATTATCTTTGAAAAATAATGTGGAGTTAGCCTAAAAAAAAAAAAGAAGATAAATACTGCTTTTTGACATTTAATATGTCTCAAAATGATTGAAAAATAATACGGATTAATGATGGAATTTCCATTAATGCAGAGTGTCAAGAAGTGATAACTAAAGCTCAAAATTCACATTTCGTAATAACGTCATATTAAAAATATCAGAATTTGAAAAATCATGTGAAAAAATGTTGAAAATCCACACATCAGGCATTATTAGTAATTTTCGCTATTTCGTTTTTCTGTAATTAAGATTTGGGTTCTTTAACAAGCAATTTGCTGCTTGCTAGTGCACAAAATCGCGCCATGTTCAGCATACTTTTTTTTAGATACACTTGCTTCCCTTTTTGTTTTCTATAGATAATATTTAGAGTTGAGGTACATAAATTTTAAAGGGCGTAAAATTTTAAATAGTTAACAATCTTATATCGATGGAAAGAGCTTCATAATTTCTTACGAGGGATGGAACTAAACAATTTGGTGCGATTGGACCATTCAAAGTTTCCACGCATGCTGAGAATTATGGTTTATTGATATGGTTCTCTTTAGTATGTTATCTTGTCAATTTGTTTACCAAAATGAAATTAGGTAATGGGAAACGGTTCAAGTGAAGTTGAGTTAGGTAGTATTTGTATTTCGACTTTATACTCGATTGCAAAAATGTTTAGAAAAAATATAAAAAGACTTGTATTCCATTTTTTTGATTGGAAAGTTCAGTTCTCCTGAACTTTCCGACCAAATAGACTTCTCTTTTGAAATTCATAACAAAAGATATTTTAAAAAATTTTTACAATGAAAGAATATTTATTTTTTTATTTTTGTTCAATTGATGATGAAAGCTAGATTTTTAAAAAAAATTCTGCGAAAGGTATTTTACACTGTAAAAGACACCTTAATTATTGTTCTTTTAGAGGTTAAAAACTGGATTCTATTTTCACCAGTTGGGTGTTAAGCTCACTTTTTTCGCACGTCGCTCACAACTTTTAACCTTCCTGCTTTTCTGTACAACAAATTGATTTGCCTCACAAATTATTCAACATAAAATTATAAATCAAGCAAAGTTAATTAAAATTACTGAATTCTCAAAGAAAGTTTTTTTTTCTTTCAAAATGAATTTTTTTCCCTATGAAGAACTGTGCCAGTTTTGTTCCTAAAGTAGTTATACATGTTTGCTATTAATTATGATACTAAAATTATAGACATTCTGAATGATATAATAAAGTGCTAGTGTGAAATTTAAAGAGATCATTTTCACTATAGCAAAAATTGTCTGTTGGTAAATTATTAAAAATGTATTTATATAATAAAATATATTACATTTAATATTTTTATGTAGTTTAATAATGTATACATTTAAATAATTCTGTTTAAATATATATATTATGTGTAAACATTTAAAATTAAAAATATTTTAGATATAATTTACAACTGAGAAACAATTAAAAAGTTGAGTGGAAGTAGGTATCAAATGATATTCTTAAAAAACGTGAAAGTCATGATCAGTTTAAGTGTAGAATATAATTTTTTTTTGTTTGGTCGGTAAATTAGGCTGTTATGTTGTAGCTATATTTTATCAAGATGTTTAATAGCCACTTTATTAATTTTGGCAATCATTTGTTTTAAGCATATTTTGCTATAAATTATTTTGAGAAGCCATGGATAGTTTTTTTCCCATTCTTTTTTATGTATAAATTTTTTTTTAATGGAATTCCCTATTTTGTGATTTAATAAAACGACAACAAAAGTAAATTAGCTGTTAGTTTTTATGACATATCAGATCTTGAATCAGTAATAATTTAAGTATTACTGTAATGTAATTCTTTTGGAAAAATCTTAATGTTGAAGTAATTTAATATTAAATATTAATTATAAGATAATTTTTAATAAACAAGTTAAAAGTATTAATTATTGAATTGATATATCTGTATCAAAATATTAGTCGTATGTTCTGCTTAACCTTAAGGAAATATTTTTATACATATTCAAGTTATTTCTAGTTTTTTGCTTAAAATTGACTGTCCAATAAATCACAATTTCAATTAAAAAAAATTGTTTCAGTTATTTTGAGGTCAGGTTGCAATAACTGCACATTAGTGTAGCTCTAGAGTGACATTAATAATCAAATCAGTTCTTTTGATCTTTTTCTATTTCTTCTTGTCTTTTTCTATTTCTATTCAACACACTATTATATTTATACATACATAGTAAACTATAGTGCCACATTGTGTACCCTCTAATAAGCCTATAATTATTTCCTCTGGTAGGGTACACTAGTTCCTGATAATATAATATGTGGTCCAATATAAATATTATGGGTCAATATTAAGGTAAGATATTGGGCTATGTGTTGAAACAAAATATTGACTACAAATTTCCTCATTTTAAAGTTAATAAACACACTATTATATATATACTTACATATTAAACTTGATTGTCATATTGTGTACCCCCTAATAAGCCTATAATTATTTCCTCTGGTAGGGTACATTAGTATCCGGTAATACAATACGTGATCCAATATAAATGGGTCAACATTAAGGTACGATATCGGATCATGTGGTAAAACAGAACATTGACTTTGAATTTCCTCATTTTAAAGCTGTTCAACACACTATTATATATATATACATACATAGTAACCTATAGGGACACATTGTAGGCCCCCTAATTGGCCTATAGTTATTTCCTCTTTACCCAGTAATATAATACTGGGTCCTGTTTCTTCAATATAAATTCAAGAAATTCAGCTTGTAAAGCAGAAACTTTTCCTGAACTTTTTCAAAGTTTATTTTTAACCAAATGTAACTTCTCACTAAATTGTTCAGGAAAGCATAACCTAAATTCATTTTCTGATGATACAAGAGGGTCTAGATTAGAAATTATGTGTCAGACTGACCTCATTCTCCCCTTGAAGCTATGAAATTTTCCTGTGTGGGAAAATTCCCCCTGGTTACGTACCTCTGTTATAAAGGAGTTATTAGAGTTAATGTATATATATCTATATATATAACACAATAAAGACGAAAAGGATAATAAAAAAAAAAGAGAGATTAAGGAAGAAAAATAAGTGCTATTTACTGCACATAAGCTGTAAGTATATAGAACTCAAAATAAGTTAAAAATGTAGAGAAATATGGAAAAAGACTTTAAAATTTTTTAAGGAAAAGAAAAAATATAATTTTTTTTCTAAATATTCAAAAATTTAAAAAAACAAACTAGCAAGCAAAATAAAGAAAAATATAATCTCGTCATCAGCTCACACATGGTTAAAAATCTTCTAATATTTGATAAAGATTTTTTAAAATTTATTTGTTAAATATCAATAATTTCTCTAAAATCATTAATATAGAAAAATTTATAATTAAATTCCACCTTATTAATATTAAAGTTTTATAAGTAAAATTCAGCCTTGTTAATTATAAATTTTGAGTTATCCAGTATAATATTATTACCTTGCTCAAATCCAGATTCGGGCCAATCCAAGATAATTGACAAATCACTTTTTTCGGATATAATTGTGTGAGCTGATGAAGTGATGATCTTTTCCTTATTTTGTATTCCATTTTTTAAAAAAAAATGTTTGAATATGTTTAAGAGACTTTTTTAAATCTTTTTTTTTTTTCTCCTTTAAAAAAAATCTTTACACTTTTCCCATGTTTTCTTTATATTTTTAAATTGTTACAAAAAAAAAATTGTGCAGGAATATTAATTATGGAAATTAGCATTTTGCAATTGACATTGTTATTTTGCAAAGGTATATTCTTACTGAACTCTTGCAAAAATCAAACTCATACACATTTTGTTGACAGAATTAGATAATGCATAATATAGTAATATAATTACTTCTAAATTGCAGTCTAAAAAAGAATTTCAAACGTGAATCTGCTAAAATTATATGTTAAAATTTCATGTTAAACTGCCATGACAGTTGATTGTGTAAAATATTTATCATTTATAAAATGACTGGTCTAATTATTTTGCTGTTTACTTTCAGCCTACATTACTGCCCTATTAACAAAAAATCTTTTTTTTAAAATCAATTTATCTTGATAAGTAATATGTATTTAAATTTTGTTTTTTTTTCCTCAGTACAATCTTAATAATTTAGCTCTACAATAATGGCTTCCATGTTATTTATTTTATTCTGAGTTTTTAACCATTTGCAAAATTGTATTTCTTAAATTAGAGAACTGTGCAATGTATAAATCTGTCAGTGTAATTACTAGAGAGTTCTTTTTTTTTTTTTAAATTTAAAATTATTTAAGTTGAGTTGAGCTCATAGTTGTGTTTGATTGTTAAAGTTCCTAAGTTATAATTATGTTGACTCAATGTTGGGTTTTTGACGTCAAAAAGTGGTTTTTGACATGACAAGGGTATAATACTGGTTTAAACCGTCAAAAACCCGTCAAAAACTGAAGTTTGCCAAGAAAATATATAAACTTCAAAACTACCAACAGTTGCCATGCATTATATTGAAATTTAATTATACTATAGGTAATCAGCAGGTTTTAAAATATTTTTTAATTAAAATTAAGGTAAAATAACAGATTTAAAATCTCAGAAATTTATATTCAAATGCATGTGCAGAAAAATTTTGCACAAAAATTGTTTAAATATTTATATTTAAAAAAAAAATTTTTTTTTTGATACTTAAGAAAATTAAAAGTTTATTACTATGCATTTTTGACATATAAGGAACATATAACTAATATTTATAAGGAACTTACAAGTTATGTTGTATAAATACAAACTTGATACAAGTGTATGAAAAAAAATTTTAATGTTATACCGAATATCTTTATTATCCAGTATGTTAATTTGAATTTAAAAGTAGTTATATTTATGAATAATGATAAATATAATTCATATTGTTTATTATATTTATTTATAATTATTACACTTATCATTTTAAAACAATTTTTATCTCTTAATTTTTTTTTCTCCACTTGTATTAAGAATACAAATAATGCATATCTTGAAAGCAAGAAGTAATTATTCAACAGCTGAATATTTAGATATTCAACAAAACTATATAGTATTCAGCAAAATGAAATTCACAAGTATTTGGATAAACTAAATTTTCAGCATAGTAAATGAATAGGCTGAATATACTGTAAATCGACACTAACTACTCTGTGTATTTAACAGAAAGCACTTAAATTTGTATTGTCTTATGTTAAAAAGATTATTAAGAAGATTTAAAAGAATATTAAAAAGATTTTTCTTTAAAAGAAGATGTCTAATGTACAAAACTGCTAATGTTTATCTTTAAAAATGTCTAATTTTTAGTATAATCTATACTATACACTAAATTTGGTTATAAATAAATTTCTTAATAATATCACTGCAGATTTTCAATAACACATGAAAATGAATACATAATATTACAAAAGATGTGAGCTTTCAAAAGTACAAGATTTTGGTTACTATTCAAAATATAAGTGTTTCTTCAAAATTTTAAATTTATTTTTTCTAGAACATATTTAGAAACACTATCCTTTATAAAAAATATATAAATTTTATGTATTAATTAAATTTCACATATGAATATAGGTTTTTGACATTTTTGACAGAGAGGTTTTTGACGTGACGGTTTAAACCATGGTTTAAACCGTCAAAAACTGTCTCATGTCAAAAACCTGCCAACCCTGTGTTGACTAAATTAATAGTTACTAACTTTGTTCTTTTGAGTCATATATCTATATATAATTTCACTGGAAATTAAAATAATTCTCTGGTTTCTATACATATTTTAAAGTTATTTGGAAAAATATCCTAAAATATTTTTGTTTATAGTAACCAATATAGTTTTAATTCATGAAATCAAAAAATTCAATTGTTTAAGTGTAAATTTTTAACTACTTCAAATGGAAGAAGTTGGAAAGTATTATATATTGCTAATAGTTATCAGTACCTTTGTGCATCTCTCATATTGTATTTTCTTCATTTTAGGTTTGGAACTTATATGTGATAACATTTTCAGACAAGTCTGAAAAGATGTAATATTTCGTTTTCATGAAGTTTTCATAAATATTTCTTATCATCAGACTCTATTGTTTCTACTTTCTTATAGATTATTGCCTTTTAAAGAGAAAGTTGTATTTTTTCCTTAATAAATTTTTATTTAAACTTGTCTCTTAATACTAATACACTGTAAAAATTGTACAGTCTGTAAATATATTTTAACAAGTATTCTAATTCAATTTAACCATCATTTCTGTTTGAAATTCTTTGTTGAACCTTGATCTATCATTCTTGCATTGTTCATTTTCCCATATATTTGGTCTTGTTTTAATAGTCCTTTTACAAATGCAATTCTTATGTTAATAATACCACTATAGATCATTTTTGGATCTGGCATATTACCACTTGTATTGGGAACACCACATATTCCCAGAAAATTTCCTGATGTTTGAAGAAAAATATTGAATTTTGTTTTGATATGAAAAATTTATTCTATGTCTTGGAATGCACGTGCACATTGAAAGGTGATTAATGACAGGGACACTAGCAACAAAATCAGCAATGAAATGGTAGGGTAGGTGTTAAATGAAAACGAGTTTAACCAAGGTTACTTCTGCATGCTCTAATTATATAAAGCAAGGGTAAAAGTAGTGGGGCCAAAAGAGAAAATAATTTTCAAAAACTGCCACCCTAGGTTATGATTCTATTTAATTTTAGGTTGCGATAATCGTTCTATTCTACGTTTTTATGTATGCAGATTTTTTTCACTTTGAAAGTGCTGTTGATAATAGTATATATCAAAGTTGCTTTCCATCACTTAATTATACCCAAGTCATTAATTTGTGTTGGCACACGTTTGTAGTTTTCACATATGTATCATTTGTAGTCAATGGTTCCTTGAGAAACAATTGATTGAGGTTTTACTGTATATATAGATATTGAATACATATAACTTATTACAATTCTGCATCTTCATGCTTATAATTTTTTTTTTGCATTTTTATTTTTAAATGCATTTCACTTTAATGAGAATGGGAACAGTATCTGATCAAAATTTTAAAATCCTTATGAATTTTGAATATGTGTTTTAAGTTAGTTTGGTGTCACAGAGTTGAAATATTGAAAAAAAAAAGGACAAAATCATTGTTATGAATACGTAAAGGGAGAAATATAATCAGTTAAGAAATAATCATTAATTTTGTTTAGTAATGCATGATTTATTCTATGATATTTCAATAAATTTCTGTATCTTGTATTTAAATCTGTATGTCAGGCAACAATATGCAGAACATATTTTTTTGTTGCTTAAAAACTAAATTATTTCATTTAATCCCTTTCCCAATAAAAAAAAATCATTAATTTTATGGGTAATCTTTATTTATAAACTTGGTGTAAGTGCAGAAGCAGTCTATTTTTAGTGATTTTAATATCTACAGTGCGGGATTAAAAAAAAACAAAGGGACTTGTTTGAACGGAGCTTTAACGTTCTAGGACTCATTCTTAATGGTTCAAGAAGGTGACCTCAAATGTGTTAATTAATGCAGACGATAGTTTAAATAACGAAATTGACCCTTTCATATTAATTTTATTTTTTGCGTATTTCGCTGTATCTGGAGAAATTTTTGAACGAATGGAAAAATTTTTGCACCTAATTATGAAATTTGTTTCTCCAAAGATAATTCCATGCAAAAAATAAATTTTAGTCAATATTTATTATTTTATTTAGTAATAGTGGAGAAATTTTTTAATTGTGATGTATACAGCTTTATACATCATAAATAATGTAATTTTACATGGTAACATTCAATATATGAGCGAAATCGGTTAATAGTTCCCAGTAAATCGAATTTTAAAAAAGTCGTATTTTTAAAATTCTATTTCTCAGCCGATTGACCCATTTCACTCAAATTTTGTATTTTACCGTTTAAAATTACATTCATTAAAGATGTAAAAAATTGTATACCTTAAAATTCAAAATCTTTTTGACCATTATTAAATAATAAATATTTAATAAAAATTATTTTTTGCATGAAATTATCTTTGGAGAAATGAATATTATTATAAATGTGTGCAAACATTTTTCAAATAGCTTAAAAAGTTCTCAAAATGAAGTAAAATTCGTAAAAAAATAAAATTAACAGGGGATAGACCTTGGGCCGCTTCCTGTCCAAACTAATGGAACCATATTTTCCAGACTGGCTACAGCCTATATTGGGCTACAGAAATCCGTATTCGTTGAAAAAAACGTGTGTTTATTCAGAGAAAGTACATTTTTGTGTCTGATTTCATAACTTAAAATATCGCCTGCACAAATTAATTAGCATATTTGAGATCACTCCCTTGAATCATTAAGATTGAGTCCTAGGTCGCGAAAATCCGATAATTAGGGATCGAAAGTTTTTCAGGGTGGGCTTTTTTTTTTTTTTTTTTTTAGCCGCTCTATACATATGCCTAATGCATTTTCCTGGAATTTGGAAGCAGTTGCATGGTCCCTAAAATTTGTCTTTTTTAAAAATGTTTTTATTTTTCACACACTTTTCCTCCAACACATTTTAATGCGTAAGGCTAATAAAAGTAACTTTGGCTATGATTTATAGCAATTAATGGCCAAATCAGGGATTCTTCACTATTTTGGCGAAATTTTTTAGCATCTAAAATTTGCCATTTACATTAATGATTTCTTGATTGTAGTAGGTGTCCCTTGCAGCCATACCCACTTAGCCATTTTTAAAATTTATTGTTTAAAAATTCATTTTTGTGAAGAATTATTTTATTGCAATGAAGCTCCTGATTAGCAGTAATAAAACAGATATATTATTTATCCAATCTGATTCTTCATTGAACTAGTTTGATTTATATTCATTTGTTATGTTCATAATGAGAGTGAAATATGGGCAGTTGGATTATAATTTATTTCGATAAAATTTCTAAAGTTCTATTTTAATGCCTAAAACTATTCTTCTAAAACATAATTGATTAACGCCTTCGAGGTAACTATTCTTTTACTTCTTATCGGTTAACACTTTTTTTTTCCCGCTATACACTCACTGTATATGTGAACAAAAACACTAGAAGAACGAACTAACACCTCAAATTTTATCAATAATATTGAACGCTAGATAGTATATGTATCCTATGCAACGAGATCAAACTTAGTATGTATATGAAAGTTAGCGTTATTTTAGGAATTAAACGGAATAAAGTTGTTTAATTGAGTTAATGTCGTTCTACGTGAGGGTGAAACTCGGGATGATTGAAAACTTTTGAAACTTGAATTTTTTTTTGCACTAACAAGCATAATTTTTACGAAAATACACATCCAAATAATTCGCTCTCAGTATCAAATTCATACAAGTTAGAATTTATTTTTCAGCATAATATATAATTCGTACTCCGTCAAGAATTGCATTAGAACTTGAGAAGGTCATACTTAAGAGTTTTATTTTCTTAATTTTTGAAGGCCCTAAGTCGATTCTTAGTTAATAAACGGGAATGTGGCACGTATTGCTCTTCTGCTACACAATTTTAATTGAGATTTTACTATGTAAGTGTAAGTTGATCAGCGCTCAGAGAGGAAAAAAGAATTGATAGCGAAATTTCTATTAAAACATTCGCAAACATCCCCTTACTTTCCCAGTTATTTAAAAAATATTTCTGTTAACCTTTTGCAGAACGGCAAATTTTAGTGAGGCAACACATTAGCAACTGCGTCCTAAGGCAGATTCTATGAATTCATAGAATCTGCCACATCCATATGATATCTATTTTCCATATGAATTCATAGACCTTAGACATGGTATTTGAGTCCTTTTAAATTTTAATCATTTCTTTAAACAACGACGGTTAATCACAAGATTTTTAGTCTAAATTTTTTTAGTACTTTTCAGGACTAAAAACTACTGTATTTATTTTTATAATCATATTTATTTTTATAATTTAAAAAATATAAATTTAAGCTATTTATAAATAGCTTAAATTTATAAGTAGCTTAACCTTTTGATGCAGGTGGGGCACCCATGTTCCTTATGTATATTTTTTTTCTGACGTAATTACATGTAAAAATATATTTTGGTATTTATTTAATTAAAAAAATCTAATAGATACTAAAAAAACTCTGCCATATTATCGGAATTATAGTTGTACTAAAATCCTAAAAAAGTAGTTTGAAGTTTTTTTGTATTCATGTTCAAAAATTAATTGATCTTGTTGTCTTATGCCACTTATCAATACTAACAAGCCAATTTTTAAGGCAGAGGGGTGCACTTCATCTTGTTTTCCATTGACGCCATCTATGGCAAGGAATTCGACTTGTGACACATTCGCATTTAGCAGATTCACCGTCACAGCCCGTTTTACAGAAAGGTCACATTCACACACCATCCATCCATCCACAGATCGTTATTTAGACCTGAGCCAGAGCGCGATCAATTTCCGATCCAGTACCCCCACAGGTATTGATTTGCTATGGAGAATTGGAGGACTTTGTGACCCCGACAGCTGTAGAATGCACCAGTCGCCATTTTGTACACGGGGATCGAATTCACGACCTCTTGGATACGGGCCCAGCGCCTTACCAACCAGGCTATCTCGGCCAATTGATTTTGTAAATTAAAGAAATTTCCCTTTGAACCTTAAATAAAGGTATAATAATTATAAAAATTATTATTAATTTTAATTGTGTGCCATAAATAAAAATTTAATTGATGGAAATTTATTGAAAATTATTATTAAATAAAGTAGTAATCTACAATTTAAAAAGTATTTAATTAATGAGGTTATATTAAGCAGAATTTTAGTGAAATGAAAAACTAATAAATATATAGCCCCCGCCCCCAAAAAACAAAGAAAGTATAATAGAATTTTTATTTTTGGAAAAGTTAGAGAAGATGCAAGTTAGGACTAAAGTCGAAACAATGATGAAATCACTTGTCGATTAACGAAGCACACCAAATTGTCGATAAATTCTCATCTTAAGTGACTCAAATTTGCTCTGTAAATTATTTTTTAATATTTCTTGAAGGTAAGTAAAATTGATGATTATAAATTTTATTTTCAAAAAGTAACGTATGAGTTTGAGGATGTTTGTTTTAAATGCTTTTTATAAGTCTGATTTCATATTTTTATGGGAGAAATGAAGTAGTTTTGTTTAGTATGTATTTCAGAATTTAT